TACCAACAATTTGAAAATGGTCTCCGTTAATGTACACGTAATTTTCACAGTGAGTTACACTGTGTCATTGTTTGTGTTTATGCAGCTGCATTGTCAGCGGCTTTTATTGGTTATATCAATTTGAAAGTACTGCACGTCTGAATACACACGTGTACCTAAAAAGATGACGATGATCAACCCAACATGTCACGTAAATGCTAGTAATTGCTTAAAGCAGAACACATTACTATGTCACTCGTCTTCTCTATTGATGTGGACATCCGTTTGTAAAGCTGATTCAGTAATGTGGACACGTGACATTAAACGGAAAAATCAAAATCAAAAATAAAAAATTACCCGTACTGGAGGAGTCCCTTCAAGCAGACGAGTGCTAAAGACATGAATCCTACAGATAGACCCCCTATGATGGTCGTCTTGAAGGACTTTTAAACCAATATAAAATGCAATATAAAAGATATAAAAACAGAAATCGCTGAAGTGAATGATTACGTAAATATCTTCCTCCATATATATACAGAACCTTGAACACACATACATGAACCAATCTTTGATGACAAAGTCGTAAAAATAAGTTAATATTAATCAAAGGGAACTATGTATTCTCGACAAAAATCATGCGTTTATTATAATACACGTTAATCGAGTCTTTTAAGTGTTCCGTCGTAAACAGACGTGGTTAAGTTTTTATTTTCCTCATTCGTAAATGATTTATAATTATAATTATATGGAAGTGGTATTTATGTAAATTAGGATAATCTGTTTATTAGTATACTACTCAATTCTGATGATGTGGCAGATGGGCTGGACAGGAATTAATTTTGAATTATTGTGTCAACATTACGATACGCAATGAAATAGTGAATGGAATTGTGAAAGGTTGTTTTTCGAGGAAACAAATGTAATCTGCAAAGCACTATAACAGCTTAGATGTAATGATTTCTACATTGCGGTGTCCCCTGCTTAAATTATCAGGCTACTCGAGTAATCAAACCTCCATATATTAGAGAGTGTGGCACTGTATAATGCGTTTCAATTGATGGATGCCACTATTGGCGTGTTATGTCCTATTTTCCTTCTTCATTAATGAACTAGCTATTGAGCTACTACAGTTCCCTCACCATGGTATTCAACTTTCCCCTGATCTCATTGAACTATTTTGTTTATTATTTGCTGACGACATTGCGGTGTTTTCGGACACTGTCATTGGCCTACAAAGATTAATTCGTAAGCTTGAGGGGTATTGTAATAAATGGAAAATGACAGTGAACTTGAACAAAACAAAAATAATCGTTTTCAAAGCGGGGGGGGGTCGCCTAGCCAAATCTGAAAAGTGGTATTTTAAAAACACACAGCTGGGGGTAGTCTCACATTACAAATATTTGGGAATGTTGTTATCATGTCGGTTACAGTGGACACCTGCAACGAAGTCTTTAGCACAACAAGCTAAAAAAGCATTTATGGCTATTATGAAAAATACTAGAAAATTCGGTCCTTTTAAATTATGATTCATTCTTTAAAACTTTTGATACCACGATTTTACCTATTTTAATCTATGGTTCGGAGGTTAGGGGGTTTGCAAAATATGAGTGTCTGGAACGTATTCAATACCTTGCTTGCAGATATTTCCTTGTGTTTCAACACGATCACCTAACAATTGTGTACTTGGCAGGTGTGGAAGATACCCTATTACCCTATGCATCAAATATTGGGCTAAAATCATCAATATGCCAAGTAACAGATACCCACGTAAATGCTACAACATGTTATATAACATAGACAAATCGGGGATGAGGACGAAGCTTGCCTGGGTGGTAGACATATAGAAACATGTTTGGTATTCGCAGAAAATTGGCAATATTCAGGAGTTTGTAAGAGTATTTTCATTTCGTTTTAAGAAATGCCTACATTTTGAGTGGCTTACTGATATTTGTTCCTTAGACAAACTGGTTACATATCGGGAATTTAAGGTTACATTGCAGCCGGAAAAATACTTAAAATCTGTTGGATTTTTTTCCCATAGAGTAGCTCTTGCACGGTTTCGATGTTCTTCTCACTGCCTTCGCATTGAGAGAGATCGTGGTGCAATTGAGAGAGACGAACGTATTTGCCCTCTTTGTGACATAGATGAAATTGAAAATGAGTTTCACTTTTTTCTTGTTTGCCCATGTTACCATGAATTGCGAACCTCGTACTTACCCAATACATTATATAATACCCCATCTTTTGATAAATGTATAGATCTTGTTACTTCTCAAAATTCTGACATTTTACAACCATTGAAACTTAGGAACGAGATATGTGATTTTATTTAAATATTCTGTAAAGTATTTTTATTTTTCGAATATTCTTCTTGTACGTGTAAATACTTTAATGGGCCGATGGCTATAAATTTGTGAATAAAAAATAAATAAAAGTTAGGTCTGTGGTTTGAAAGCGCCAAAAAGGTACAGACTGAATTCTACAGATTCTCGTTCGGGGTTAACAGTAGTGCTAACAACTGGGCTGTAATAGATGGTTATGAATGTTTGTTATTATGTTTTTATTTTACGCGCGGTATTGAATACTGACTGAAATTACCTGAATTGAATAATAATATCATGACGTAGCATGCCACGATCGGTAGGATTACATAAGCTACCGTTAATAAAACGCTACTATATATAATAATGGTTTTGGTGTCGTTTGTCTCGAACAACAAGTAGGTAATAAAAGAAATGATTTGATGTTTTGTCATAAAAGACAGTCGTCCACAGGAATGGCATGTATCCATGTCACATACTCGCGAACACATAAAGAATCTGCGATATCCATAAAAGCTTCGTCCCGATATGTTATGGTCGAACTTGTCTAATAGTATGTCATTACAGTGCATGCTAATTGCGTGGAAATTGGTTGAAATGTATCATAGTCGTCTCGGTTGAAACCAGATAGAGCTATGAGACTTTTAAAACTCAAAGGAGATTCACTATTAAAACCAAACAATATGCTTCAGAAAGTTAAGAAGGCGTTTATTCCAGGTGAAAACAAATTCAGGAGATAATACTGTTTTTGGCGGCTTTTCTACCGTTGCTAGACAACCAGTCCACTTTGTGCACGGCAAAAGTACGTCACTATAGGGTCATTATAACCACATTTCATTAAAATTGGCTGAATCCAAAATGGAAGAAGTTGGTGGGAAAAGTCGAAGATGGTTTTAAGATCGATAATGTTATATAGAAGATGTATCTAACAGTGTTATGCTGTAGTTTTAATGCAGTACTGCTAAACTGTGGAAGTACATTTGGCGTTGTTAGTGCCGATTTTTCTATCATTGCTAGGTAACCATGGTCCACTTATCAACAATATTAAGCACAGCTCGATTACGTCACCGTATGATCCTTGTAGCTATATTTTATTGTGATTATCAAGGCTAAATAATAAGTAATGATACAATCATTATGAAATGTAAAAAAGTACTTACCAGCTGCTCCCAAAGTCGGCTCTGATTATGATAGATTTGTTCACAGGTGTTCTTAACAATCGTGGTCATAGCTGGCCACAGTGACTATCAATCTACTTTCGCTGCAACTCTGAAAATATCAATATCACCTCGCGCCAGACTTATTGGCGACATCAGACATTATATTTAATTAGTTGTAGCAAGTATTATTGCACTCTTTTTATCATTCGTACTTATCATTATCTTCATTTCATGTAATATATTACTCAGATCAACAGGCAATGATCGCAATTAACCTATCATGATGGAAAATTACTATATCATCCCATGGGAAATCTACTACTTGTTGTGATGGGGATATACAGATTGTTTACCGTTCCTCGGGGACAGGAAGGGTACACAGAACCGACAGTCTGTATCATCACAATTCAACAGGACGCCATTTCCAAAACGAATCACCTGCATCTTTGGTGGTCTAAGCAGGGAAGGGACATGACAAGATGTAGACAATTATGGGCGAACTGCATTTGCTCCAGTGAGTTTACGAGCAAACGACCCGCACAAGCACAGCCATACTTCTCCAGATGAAAATGACCAGGAATAATTTAACGTGAAAGAAACATGGGGTAATTGTTTTCTAAGCGATCCGTACAAACGTGGGAAACATTTGATTTTGCAGTCA